GGCACGGGGACAAGGATGAGCTCACAGCAGCCCAGCTCTCTGCTCTGCCCACATGGGCCACTGCAACGGGGCTGCTGCAAGGCCAGGCAGGGGGCTGGGGGCTGGAATTACCTGTGGAGTATGGTGCGGATGAGATGGGCTCTGGAGTTGTGGCTGCAAGGAAGAATTTTATATCAGTGACAAATGTTCCATACAGAGTCATCACAATGTCAGGCAGAGGAGTGCAGCCTGTTTTCTAGGAGCCCCTCTCCTGTGATTCCTACAACATCCTGCAGAGGATCTCTCATCTCTTTCACTCATCTGAAATCACTGGTTTGACTTTGCTGTTTCACACACTAAACAGTGAGTGAGAGTGGACAGGGTTACCTGGTGTGCTGCTTTCCTCTCTTGGAATCCCTTCTGAAGTCACCATCTCTGCTGAGGCGGTTGTCTCTGCTGAGGCAGTTGTCTCTGCTGAGGTTGTCATCTGTGCTATGAAGGTTGTTTCCTTTATCTTCTGCTCTATCATGGGTATCCCTGCTAGGGAGGTAATTCTTACAGTGGCCACAGCATTTGGTATGACAGGCAAGGATGGATCATTAATACTGGTAGACAGGGTGAAGCTCTGTCCAGTCATTTCCCATAGAGACACCAGCGCCAAATGCCCTGAGTCCTTCCCCAGCCTCCCAGCTCAGTCACCCCTCTGTCCTGCTCTTTGCCACCTCTCTGAAACCCTATTCCTGCAGGCCAGGACAGTCTGCTGTGCTCTCTTTGTGCAAACAGGGCTTTTTCTTGGCATATGCTCAGCTCACCAAGCAACAGAAAGCACCAATCCACCAGTGGGACATGTACCAGGGCTTAGGGTCACTCAGTAAAGACATCAGGAGCACTTTGGAGACTGATGAGTGAGAGATGACAGAGTTACCTGGTGTGCTCTCCTCTGGTCTCATAGCTCTTTTCTCTGAGGTGCTCAACAAGGATGAGGTTATCATCCTTGTGAATGTGGTTGTCTCTGGTGAGGTGGGCATCTCTGCTGTGGAGTACGTCTCTGGCATGGCACTGGATGGCACTGTGGACATCTCTGGCGTGGCACTGGATGCCATTGTGCTGGTCATCTCTGCTGCGGGTGACGTCTCTGCTGAGGTGGACATCTCTGCTGAGGTGGGCATCACTACTGAAGTGGACATCTCTGCTGAGGTGGACATCACTGCTGAGGTGGACATGTCTGGCGTGCTGGTGAGTGGCAGTGCACTGGTCGAGTATGTTGGGCTGGATGTTCCTGTTAAGGAGGTCGTTAGTGCAATGGCAATGGACATGAAAAGCAGAGCTGGACAAATAATGGGAGAAGAGAGCATGGAATTCTCTCCTGTCATTTTGGGGGTCTGTCTGCAGTCTGGGAAGGAAGCCCAGGGGCACTAAAGAGGACAGTGAGTGACAGTGGACAGGGTTACCTGTTGTGCTCTCCTCCACTGTGCTGATCATATCAGGCAGTGAGTACGGCAGTGGTGGGGCAGAGGATGGCACTTCTGTCTCTGGTAGAGCAGACATCCCTCTCATGGTTGTTTGCCATGGGTTGGGTGTGACTGCTAGAGTTGGCATTGGCACTGTGGTGGCCATCTGCTCTAGGAAGGATTCCTCTGCTGTGGGGGATGATGTCACCATGGCAGTTGTCTGAAATGGGGTTGTCACATGAGGCAGAGTGGAAATTTTCCAGAGCAGAAACCCATTTTGATTTAGGCGAAATGTACATTTTTGAGTTAAGTCTGTGGTTAGAAAACATAGCTATTTAGCCTGACTGCAAAAGCCTAGTTTTTCTAGAAGGAGAGGGATAAGGGGGAAGAGATAGAGAGTGATAAAGAGACAGACACACTGCTGTGAGAGCAGGTCAACCTGACCTAGGTATTCTTTCTGATAAAGAAGAACTAGAGGCAAATATCACACAAAATTCGTAAAAATGAAGATGTATGAACCTATTGTGAAATTGTATGCATATGTATTTGAGAGGGGGATAAAAAGAGACCCCAAGTTCCCAGAAGTACGCATGTCATTTTAGGAAAATGATTCCCACATCCATCCAGTGCTGTAATAAACATACAAAAGTTGTGGAGTTTTGATTATCTCCACAAAACACACCTCCTCTGTGTTGGTTGTTAATCCAGTTGTGGCCATCTCCTCAGGGGATGTCATCTCATTTGCAAAGACTGTTGATGCTAATGTTGATGTCCCTAAGAGAGGTTCTATGGATGTTTCCCCTACTGTGGAGGTTGTCCCCAGTGCTGAATCTGCTGTAGACGTTGGTATTGGCTCTGCTTGTTTTGAATCAGACTCCTCTGTGAAAAAAAAAAAAAAAAGAGAAACACTCCACACATCAGCACTGTGCAATGGATACCTCTGTGTGGTAGCTACGAGCCCAGACCCTCAAGGATGAAGTGAAATCAAGAGCAATTAGTCTGATGGGATAGTCCTTCCTATCTGGGGTCAATGGACAGAATGGAGGTGGGTAACAGCCAATTTAAATTTTTTTTTGGAAGAGGTATTTCCAGATGGTCAGCATGGTAAGGTTCAGGGTGGCATCTGCTCCCAGCCCCCGGACTCCACAGCCCAGGCTCAGCCTGAGACTCCAAGGCTCCTAGCATGGAGGGGGGAGCTGTGGGGCTGCTGGCAGCAGCAGGGCTTGAGCCTGTCCTCATTGTGAATGCCCTTCTGCAGGGGATCAGGACATCCCCAGCAACAGTCTGGGCAGTGGTCTTGGATGGTGCTTGGTGCAAGGGCAGGAGTGGACTGAATCATCTGTTGGATATATCCAGCCTGTAGAAGGCACTGGAGCTATGAATGCAGGCAAGAAATAAATGGCATTTAAAAAGGCTCTGTGTGATGTGTTCACAGGTCTGGTAGAAATTTTTATTCTTTTCTTCTAAGGGAAAAACACGGGTGTAGCTAGCACTTCCTTCCAGCATGGATTTAGCTCTCCAGGCTCTTACTCTCTAAGGAAACGTGGAAAACTGCACTATTGATACAAAACACCTGAACAGTCTGTTGTCATCAGCAATGCTCGGTTCATGATGATCAATTGTTAATACATGAGAAAATAAGATACAAATAAATTCTCCTAAAAAGTAATGGGAAAGTAAAATGAACACAGCAAGGTGAAAGATACTCAAATTGGATGGGTATTTGAAAAGGAAAAAGGCATTAATGGACCCAAATGAAGGAAGACTTGAAAAATATAGAAACAATCCAAAGTGAATTGTGAGCTATGACAATCTGAGCTGTGATTGTGAAATTATTATTGCCCATAACAAATTCATTAAGAATTCACCTAACCCCATTCTTCCTTGATAAACTTTGCTGATCAGACATAGCTTTGTGTCTAATTTTGAATTGTTTCCTTATTGCCCCTGCCAGGTGATTAGATGGAATAATTGTCCTTGTGCATCTGCAATGTATATCTGATCCTTGGGGTTTTTAATTGCTTTGAATGGATGAGCAAGCACAGGTTTCATATAATGAGAAAAACACAAATCTGTAGGGGGATAGAATATAAGAAAATAAAGATAGTGTAGAAAGTAATCTTACCCCTAAGGAGTTGCAGCTGGGCCAATTATCAAGGATTGGGAACAGGCCTGTCTTTAACAGGCCACAGCTGTAACCAGTGAGAAGAAGATGCTATAAAAGAGTGGTGTGGTTGGTTGAGAAGGGAACTGGAGTCAGTTGGCTGCTTTGTGAAGAAGAAAGAGTCAGTGATCTGAGGAGCTGCTCCATGAGGAACACCAAGAACATGTGAAACTTTGTGATAGGGAGACAACAGTATGGAACCCCTTCAATAAGATGACAATGCAAATCCATGCTAGTTCTGCAGGGTCAGCGGAATGAAAGGACAGGATTTGGGGGTGAAAAAGTGTGGGAGTACCTGAACAGACAACAGAAGCATCTTCGTAGTGGGCGCAGTTGTGGATCCTCCACCCCGTGTGGTTGCAGCGCAGCAAGGACGCCTCATTTCCACTGCACCTCACGTTGTCCAGCACGATGTCACCCGAGCCCTGCCCGAAGTAGGCACTTCCCAGAGCTGCAATGGCCCTGCCACAGCCCAGCTGCCTGCACACAACCTGGGCGTCAGGGAGGTCCCAGAAGTCATCACACACTGTCCCCGACCGTCCCCGGTAGTAGATCTCAACACGACCTTCACACCGGTGCCTTCCGTTCACCAGGTGGACGTAGGGAGCTTTGGGAGAGAGGGCATGGGCACAAAACAGTCAGGGAAATAATAGGCTGCAAGGGACTGGAATGAGCATCTATTCTGCTTTCTTCCAGTATTGTCCCTAGAAGGTGTTGCCCAGTCCATTATTAAGTGCCTGTGAGGACAGAGGTGATTTGTTCCTTTTTATTCCTGTCTTCCAGTTTTCAAAATCAGCCATGTGTTTTATGCAAGATCCCTGCAATAAAGTTAGGCAGAAGGCTAAGCACAAGCGGTTTAAGCAAGAAAAGAAATTTTTGGGACAAGACTGAGAGGACTGAGAGTCCACACGTCACCAAATCCTATAGCTTATAAGACTAACTTTAGTGAAAGAGTTCTACCAAATGTTCTATAGAATGGATGATTCTGTTTCAACAGGATTATAACGATTTGAACAGGAATTCAGTGGCCTTATTGCTTATATACCAGTAAAATTTATTACATTTTGAAATAAAGAAATAACCCATCCTGTATACAGCTGATTACTACATTCATTCAGGTAAAGTCCATCTGCTTTCCACTTTTATGTCTTGTTTAGACATTGCGGTGTGACCAGCATGAAAATCCTGATTTTAGAGATCCATTTTTGGTGAAGAAGTTTATTAAATGCTTCACTATCAATTGTAAGCAAGCAAATAAATGTTTGAACTTTGGATTTGCAGTATTTACACTCTGGAAATCAAAACATGCACTTGTTATATTTTACATTGCTGCCAAGTACATATTTACCTTATTATTAAACACTAAGTCATCCAGAGCAAAACAAATTTCAAAAGTTAACACCTCCAGGATTTCTTCACTGCACCTAATTCTTTGCTGTTGATCCAGAAGTACAGTCAAGATGGTGACCAAACTAAATTTGTCCTGATTTGTATGACTTTCAAAGGGCAAAGCTATAAAAGTGCCCCTTGACTTATATCTGACTTGTTCCTTCAAATATCTATTTGAACATGCACATTGTTGAGCCCTACTCACAGGGTTTTTGAGAGGTGAAACAGCAAACCTGGCAAAAAGTCAGAGTGGGATTAGGAAATTAAGCCAACCTAAGCCAGTTTTATTTGCTTTCATTCAAGGGCTGTCATTGCTGTGAGAGCATAACCATCAGCTGGGGATGAAATTGGATAGGCTGGATCCTTCCTCACACTTCAAAGGTATCAAAAAGACAAAAGCCTGTGATTATACAAATACAGCAAATACTCTGCTCTGAGACACAGAGCAGCCAGAGTGAGATGAGTTATCACCAGAAAAGCAGGAGACAGAGGGAGAGAATTGATGAGGTGAACGGTGGCAATATAAATTATCATCACGAAGCTTAAATAACTCATTAGAAAAGTCATCAGCAATTATTCTAAGATACACACAGAACTATTAACTCAAAGTCACCCAAACCACTCAGGAGATAGAAAGCAATAATGGAAGGAAAAATTCTATGATCATAAAAATGTTGAACTAAAAGTATTTAATCTCTCATAATTTTTAGACGTCCATCATTTAACCACAGTACTAGAGTGTGAAAACCTAACTTCATGTTATATTTTGTTAAATTGTGCATAATACCAAGAAGAACCAAATGATACAAGCAATATTAAATATATAGAATACGTGTGCACACATACACTCTGGAATAAAAACATGTACACTCATGGAAAAAAGTAAAGAAATAAATCTTTCAATGATTTTTGGATCAGATTTCTGGAACTGGAAGAATACCTCATTCATGACATACTCACAGACACAATTCTTGCAATGATACAAGGCACTAAGATAAGTAGGACCCTGTGGCAGCAAAATGAACTCCACAAAATGGTTCAAATCATTTTTATCATCTACTCTGATGATTAGTTCACAATTTTAGTAGAACAAAACTCTGCTCTTTCATCCAATTCACAATCTTTTGCCCAAACCAATACCAGCCTGAATTTAATTTCTGCTCTTGGAACCAACAGAGAGGACTCCAAGCAGTCTTTATAATTTTTTAAATCTGCCCTGGAACAGGTCTAAGTCTTTTACCTGTTTTGGCCTCCAGAACTGCTGGACCCAACAAGAGAAGCCATGCCAAAACCATGGGGGCACCCATCTCACCAGGTGTTGGTGGTAAAGAGGACCTCACAATATATACTCTATTTCTGAAGGGGAGTGGCTCTCCAGGTCTCTTTTTCTTCAGCAGAACAATAAAACAACCACAGCCCTCTAATCTGAAACAAACATGTGTTTGATTTGTTATTTAATATTTTGTAACTTCCTGGGTTTTGCAAAAAGACAATATCTCAAGAGTAACATTTTCCATTGCCTGGAAGGAAGTATTTATGCTACCATAGGTTTCACAATCATCTCATTGTACCAAAAAAAAGAGAGCTCCTGTCCAAAGATACCGTTCAGTTCTGGCTGATGCATCTCAGCATTTTTCTTTCATGAGGAGGTTCCTGGTCAGGTATTGGGTTGGTAGTGGAATCTTAAAACTTAAATGAGTTTCTTGCAGCAAAATAGCAAGAAACCCTTGCCAACTAATGGGCAGGTCTTCTTGGGGAGCCATAAATGTCCTAAAGCTTCAGCGGACTTTAAATAAAATAAGGTCAGACCTGGTGGCCCTGTTTAATTCTGACTGGGGCGTCTCTGAAGAACCTTGCAGCTGAAATCAACAGCTCTAGCCCCAGTACAAAACAATTATTTTGGGGCACATTAAAGTACAAGCCAAAATTCCAAAAAAACTCACTGTCAGACAGATTGCAAGGAAATGTCAGGGAATCAGGGTCAACTGATAACTTTCTGTGCAAACATTGTGGAAAAAAAATCAGTGGATTTCATGCATAGTGAAGAAAATTACATAGATTGAAACTGATTTTGTTCTAAAATATCATATGATCCTTTGAACCAACAAATTGGAGGAAAAAAAAGTGATTTCTTCAGATTAAGAAAATGTCTTAATATATTCCTTGTGACATTTTACATTGTGACAAAAACAGTGGTATGATTCTTTGAAGAATGAATCCAAGGTTTTTCTACAATATGAAACAATGTTTAATTCTCATTCATAACTCTTTTTCCAGAGTGGTTATTTTCCTCTATGTTTCTAACAATTTAACAAGAAAATCTGATAATCATCCTAACACTGAAGAGTCAGAGCACTGTTCTCCATCTCATCCCTACCTCTACAGCCATCATGACTTGAATGGAATTATCACCAGTTAAAATTGTTGCCACATATGAATTTATTGCCTCCAGGGACAGCCATCAAGCAGGAAGACCAAAGCCCAGGGGGAAAAGAGAATGATCTAAAACATCTTTCCACACAGGCCAATATCATTGGAATGGAATAAGGAAGTAAAAAATATAAGAGGCCAAAGATAACTTTGGAAGCCTTGAAAGTGAACATTCAGAATAGTAAATATGTTTCTTCTTTATCCAAACAACCACATTTGCACATGAATGAGGATGTGTACACACCACCTGGTATTCACTATTCATATTCTGGTTTTGACACTCTGACAAGAATGAGAAATCCAGTTTATTTGAGTGGCCAATCAAACACTGCAAGCAGTGAAGCAAGAGTGAGTGATGGATCACAGTTCTTCTCCAAACCCTTGTAATAACTCAAAGAGGGTAAGGAGGAAGGGGAACACAAAAGGAATTCCCAGGTGGTTCAAGTGTAAAAAAAAGTCTTAAGCTGCCCAGGTAAAAGATCAATATTGCTTGTTTAATTGATTAGTTCTTCACTACCTTCTTCATAAATAAATTATTCATTTCAAAAATCTAGATATTCCGAGAGATCTTTATTATCAGACAATCTCTGCACAATGAAAATGGATAAATAATTTGTTTAATTAACCTTAGTTAGTGAAATACCATACAGTATTTAACCCTTCCCCCTGGCTAGATAAATCTCTTGCAGTAACATATTTTTGTTCTCAAGGTCTTCTTCTGGCAGCTTGAGGCATTTCCCAGCTCTGAATGAAGCTACACTGAGCTTTGAAAACACCTTTTCTTCTGCTGACAATTGTGAGGGCACTTTGCAAACATACTGGGTTTTTGAAGGTAAGAATGGAAACCAGTGAAGGGACAAACAAGATTAATCAGCTTTCACCCATGACTGTAGGAAATTATCTACACTGGAATAAGGATATCCACAGCCTTCTCCACAAAGGAGTGATAGTCTGCATCCAGGCAGGAAGGTTTGTGGCAGAAAGATAATTTCCCAAGCACATGACCCTTTCCTCATCATCAAACCCAATTTTCTTGAATCCTGCATTTCTGTAATGCTTGTGGATCAAGGCAGATAGCAAGATAAGAGGAGGAGTCTGAAACATCTACCACCTGAGCAGTTTGGCAACACTTTCTGCAGCAATATTTAATATGAAAACCAGTGAACTTGGTAATTCTACCTTGTATTTTTATCCAGCCTTGGTATTTCTCCATCTGGGAGCCCTGGCACTGACATACTATGGGAAAACTCAGCTCTGAACAGCACAGGGCTGGTGAGGATTGGAGACACCAGGATCTAGGCCTGAGGTCTTTCTGCTTGTCTGTGAAAATAATATTGAGAGAATAGGAGAAGGGTAAAAAAGTGCCTGCAAGATGGTGTGGTAGGAACACCACAGCAGCGGGAAGAAGGAGAATACAGGTCTGGGAAGAGCACAGGGGAAGGTCCTGTTCTACAGAGTAGGGAAGCCCAGGTCCAGGAGTGTCCTTGCTGTGCTGAGCAGATGGCTGCATTCCTCTGAGCCCAGACAATCTCTGGTCCAGAGAACAGGTGAAGGCAGGCCAGTCTTCTGAGGTGCTCTGCCCTCCAGGGGTGGCTGCAGGCAGAGGGGGGAGGAAGACCCTCAATCCTTGTTCCTCAAGTGTGGAAAACCCCTCTCACTTTCTGTGTGCAGTGCCAGCCCCTACCTGTGTGATCTCTCTTTACATCACAGAGAGGTGATGAGAGCCCTGCCTGGAGCCATGAGGAGAGGGCAGCTTGAAGGAACAAATGGTCCAGGCTGTGGGGCTGGCTCCTGTCAGAGCTGCCCTCATCCTCCTGGTCAGGTCAGGATGTCACCCATGAGCACAGCTCACCTTCCTCACACGTCACCACTTTGGCTCACCTTCCACATCTGACACTGCTCAGTTCCAAGTGAACTTGCCTCTTTCACAGCTGGCTGGAGAACAGGAACGTCTCAAGAAGGGCATTTCTCAATCAATACCAGTGACCTTTCCACCTGTATTAAGCAGCTTCTTCCAAGAAATTCTTCCTTTTTTATTGTTTTTTTATTTTGTTTTCACATGGGGTAGGAGAGAGATCACACTTCATTATGGGAACTTATCTACATTTTCTCCTTCCCACCCATTCCAGGTGTAGAAATGTGTGAGAGCTGGAGCAGGAATCATTGCTTGGCAAAGTCACTTTGTCAGAAGCCACGTTCTCAAACGCAGGAGTGTGTTAGCCATGAGGTCACACATACAAGTGGGATGTTTGCAAGTATACAAAAAAAAGTATTGCTCAAAAAACTATTTTCTTTCCTGTTGTTTTTAATTACACATTAAAGTAACAAGATTATATTCATCCTCCATACAAAATCGTATAAATGGCCTACATTTATTCAGAGAAATATGGATTTGAGAAAAACCAATCTGCCCAAAGTCAGGAATGCTGTACAGCAATAATTCTTCATATGCAACCCCTGAGCATATTTGCTTATGGCTCATTATTGAGATTTTTTGCTGCAAAGAAACATTTTTCTTGTACTACTTCCTAGTGTATCTATGGTGCTACACAGGTGTTTCATCTGCATATCAGCAAGGGCCAAATAAATCAGTTCCTGTTTCTCAAGTCACCTATTTCAGTCTTCTCAGACAGACATTCAATGTGGAGCTCAACAGAAAAGCTTTGAAATGTCCAGCACTGAAGGTGCTTATTTGGATGTTGGGATGAAAGAATCAATCCTTCTTTACACCTCAGGTTTTAAAAATCAGGCTGCTTTATAAATTCAGCTCATGGTAGCATCAGGTGTAGTCTTGATTCTCCAAACATGGCCTGGATGGTGGAATAGCCAAGTAAGAGCTGCCCTTCACACTGATTGCAAACCCAGATAACAAAGCAGGGGGCTGGTGAAAGTGTCCTTCCACCTCCATGCCTGGAGCTGCCTCTCACAGTTTCTGGTATGGGATGCCCTCCTGCAGTTTCCTCTTCCAAAGAAATCCTCCCACTGTGAGAGCAGCAGCAACCAGCACCACAATGGTCACAGCCAGAGGAACGTGGGAGCTGGCAGCAGGCTCTGAGCTCAGGGTCTCCCCTTTTGCCTGGATGTCAGAGGCCAGCCCTGTGTATAAAAGAGTTGGAGAGAAACTTACTTTTTTGGCGTTTTCCCCTGAGCTGGTTAATTGCAAAGATAATTATGCAAAGAGAATTTGAGTTTAAAAGCTCTAATCTGGATCTGATTGGAAAACTGCACATTATTTCACAAATTATTCTGTGGCCATGCAAAACAAACAAAGATTCTGGCAAGAAATTGAAGAGAAGCTGGGAGTCTGTAATGATTGCACTCAAAGACCTTAAGATGTTGCTTTCTGGTAGTGGAAACAGCAGCTACAGGACGCTGAGAAACAGCATTTCCAAGAGGACCTAGAGATTGATTGTAAATAAATAACAGACATGCAAATTAGGCACAGACAGCTTTGGAAAATTAATTTCAATCAGATTAGTTACATCTCATCCCTCTTCCCATAGAATTTAACCAATTGCCACTTGATGTGTGCAGAACAAAGAGTGGATCTAAACTATGATAGAAAGAGCTTGTAAATCTAATAGAACTATTTTATAAAAATAAAAAATAATAATCCCCCATAAGAATTACAGCCAAATTGTAAATAAACCAGCAAAGGCACATTTCAGAGCTGGATTTCCTGTCTGAACTGAAATGCAAACAGACAGTAACACACAGAGTCTTACGTTGTTCAAGATATTTAAACTTACCAATGTTCCTGCTCTCAGCGTGAGCTTCCCGAAGCTGCACGGGTCCAACAACAACAGTCACTTGCTCGTGGGAAGAATCTGCATTCCTCCTGAACCTGCTCACACAGCCTTGGTAGCAGCGGGAGGGGTAGTCGTGGTACCTGCACACCAGCACCTCGCAGCGCAGGAACACCGATGGGAATCGGTTCACGAACGAGAAGGCGTTAAACCCAAACCGAGCGATGTCGCTCCGTGGCGAGGGGTAGAGAAAGTAGGTAGAGTCACTAGGACACCTGGAATGACATGGAATCAACAGATTAGCTATGAACTCACAGCTTCTCATGAGCAGAAGCACCATTACAGCCGCTCTTTGCGTTAAACGCAAACCGAGCGACGTCGCTGCGTGGCAAGGGGAAGAGAGCGTAGCTAGGGTTACTGGAACACCTGGGAGGACAAACAATCAACATTAGGATATAAAATCAACATAAAATCAACAAGATTAGCTATTAACTCACTCCCTCTCAGGAGCAGAAGTACTATTACACCCTCTCTTTGCAATAAGTTTCAAGGTTAAGTATAAAACCAGCAAGTAAAAGAGAAATCAAAAGACTTAAAAAAAAAAAGTGCTTTTAGAAAGAAGAGAAATTACTTAAATGTGCACAGCACAGAAATTTCATAGCTTAACAAGTTCTGTGTAAACATGAATAGCTGAAAAATGGCTAGTGGTTCTGCTGGTTTCTGTGTTTCAGGTGAGAGCCTGTGCTGCATTTACAAACAGGATTAACTGTATGAAAAGAGGCCCTTGAAGGTTGTTGCAGAAAGAGAAAGTTCTCCTTTCTTCTCTGGAAACATAAAACTAATTTTAATATACCTTTTTTAAAAATAAACATTCTCTTTAGTGTTTCAATGTACTTGGGAATAAATTCAGGCAAAGTGGTTTAGGTTTCTAGAATAATAAGAAAAGGCTAAGGAATTTCTCTTCTTTTTGAGTAGACAGTTTTGTACTCCAGTTATGATGCTGTAAAACTCATGATGTACAGAAATGTAGAGCCATGGACATCCTTCCCTTTCATATGTCTATTTAAGAAACAAAGTCAGACCTCAATTTCCTCATTGCCTCTTTGGGTGAAATCTCAGTGCTTGACTGCAACTTCTGAATGACATTTGGTCGCCATTCTGAATTTTACTCAGGCTTTGCCAAAAAGTTATTCTTAGAAGAACATTTGCCCTGAGAATTACAGACAATGTACACTGGTCCTAAATCACCTCATTTCACAAATGAAGTTCTTTTAGAACAACACATAGAGATGCTTTTAAAGTAATTTTTTACAAAGGTCTTACCCACTCTTGCTCAATTCATAGACCAGTGTTCTAAAATCACTAGAATTAGGTGATGCCACACAGGTGTCCACAAACACGGTCAGATTTTGGTCAGAGCTGTGAAGAGAAGCTTGGAGGTACAAATTCTGGTCCATGTCAACATAGTAAGGGAAGTCATGCACTGGCCACTGGAAGGTTGAGGAATTGTAGAACGTCAGGCTCACTTCATATCTGCCATACTGGGTTTTGTTGACATCGATGATATCATCAGCAATGTACATGACCTGAACCCAGGTGTTCTGCAGCATTTTGCAGCTGATGTGGAAGTGAAGGTCCTTTTGCCTCTTGATGACTGTGCCAGGAGCAGGCACTTTAATCACGTTGGAGTAGGTGATTGTTTCATTGTCGCCCTGTTTGACACATTAAATGAGTGTTGAATTTCCACATGGGGTCATGTTCACTGTGAGCATCATGAACTAATGCATGTGCGAGGTCCTGGCAGTCAGAAAGGACTTGTCACACTGAAAAATCCCAAGCACCCAGGATGGGATTGCCGACTTAACTCTCCCCTCTATTTTTGTTCTCTAGAACATCATTCTGAAATAGGTACAGGGAAGGATGTAAGTACCCTGGGAAGGATAAGTATAAATATTTAACCAAATTCAGCCTCCGGAAACACATGCTCCTTTTCTATGTTTTGCATGCCTGTGGCCTACAACACCCTTTGCAATCCATGACAATTTTCTAAATGTCTTAAATTCCCATGCCCAGAGCTGTCCCAAATATCTTGACACCAACCTGTCTACTTGTACCACAGTCACTGTATGAAATGTTGAATATAACCTCAGTTGATGTAATTTTTGGTGTACACTGAGGGTCTGCCAGGCTGATGTTCCCCACTGAGTAGCCCTGGGACTGGAGATAATGTCTGTCTACCACTGCATACATGTAGGTTGGCAAGCACAGAAGGGCTAGGGGAAAAAAATATATGTTAATTATTAGTGATTTTGGGTACTTGATAATGCTTTCATATTGGAAGTCCAACAAATGCAATCACTGCTGCCATTTAGAGAAGAGAATTCATAAGCCAAACCACTTATTTTTACACTTGAGACTTAGATATGGGAAAGCAATAGGACAGTACTGGAACAGGTCACCCAGAGTAGTAGCTTTCAATATTTCATCCTTTGAATATTTCCAGACATTCAGCCAGACCAGCTCGTAATGGATTTGACCTGGTGTTGGCAGTAGCTCTGTTTTGAATAGACTTCAAAAGTCCCTTCCAACCAACATTTCTATGACTCTGTGAAAGTTTGTCCACAAAAATACATATGAATTATGATGTTGTACAAAGAATATGAGTTTAGAAAATAACAGAAAACATCTAAAGGCAAATAAATTGAGTATTTTTAAAGAAAAAAAAGTAGTTATTTTCTGAAAGTGAGCAGTCACAAAACTCAAACAGGAATATCATCTATGTAAGATTCCTTCAACAACATTAACAAATACTTATTTAGTAAAAAAAACCAGAGTATAAAAGCTTTTGAGCAAAGCAAACATTACTAAGAGAACAGAATCACAAATAGAATGGAAATTTACTGGTGTTCTGGTCTGCTGGAAGGGACTGATACCGAGCCCTAAAACTTCCACTGGAATATTGGGAGTAAAATCTCACAGACATGAAGTTTGAAGATGAGGTGTATGTGAGATGAGAACTAGAACAAATTCTTCCAAGTAGAGGAGAAGATTTGGGTGGCCCATCATAGATCTCAATATAGTCATTCTGGCATCCACCTTGCAACCTGAGGAAGAAATGAGAATATATTAAAAAATGCATTTGCTAAACTTTGGTGTTTAAATGCTGAACAAACAATATAATAGGATTCTGTGCTCACACATTTCCCATGTATATTTATCATTTATCATTTCCCATCACTTATAGGATGGGAAATGTGCCCAGGAACTGTGGATGCAGTTGAGATTTGGAATTTTTTTATTGACCAAGCATAAAGTGGTTTACTTACTTAATGTTATCAAATGTGAGTGCAATGAGGAAATTGTTTGTTACGTGTATTTGCCACAAACAATCTGCTTTATCTGAAGGGTTCAAAGAAGGACTCTGAAACGTTCCAGAGGACTTAAAAAGTATATCATCACAAATAATTTTTTTGCCTGAAAAAGGAAAGGAAAAAAAAAAGAAATTTAGGGATAGAAGTGATTAATTTAGGTTTCCTTTGGATCAAATAAAAATATGTTCTATATATAGAAAACTTGGAAACACAAGATTAAATCTCAAAAGAAACATAATGATTGTGCTCCTCTCAGTTAGGCTACAAGAGTGATGAACTCTTCAGAGAATTATGACCTTTGCTTGCAGTTATTAACTCTGTGGGCTTCAGGCACATGGGTATGAAATAAAGTAAAAGGTTGTCACCTTAATGCCATAAAATCAGAGAATGAACAAAAGAAAATCTCACATGTAATCAGCATACCATGAAATCCACCCCCAGCCATAGAATCACTCAAACACAAAATACTAGTGTATAGCATATAACGAATTAAAACCAAAAAATTAAAACCAAAACATAATCCCCAACACACACCCATATCCCCGGCCAAGAGGGGACACTTCCTGAAAGAGTTCCAGCATGCAGGCAGTCAAACCAGTGGTACCTGAACACACAACACCAGCATCTTCACTGTGCTGACAATTGTGGCTGCCCCAGCCATGGTGGCTGCACTGGAAGAGGGATGATTCTGATCCCATACAGTTCACATCATCCAGGTAGATGCTGCCACTGCCTTGTCCAAAGGAGGCTCCTGTTGTTGCAGAAACAGCAGAGCCACATCCCAGCTGCCTGCACACCACCTGGGCATCGCTCAGGTCCCAGCCATCATCACAGACAGTGCCCCGGCCCCCAGAGTGGGAAATCTCCACGCGACCCGCGCAGCGGCTCCCGCCGTTCACCAGGCTGATGGTGGCATCTGGGAAAGAAGGAGGTATGGAAAACTTGGGCAGAGATTTTAGCACAAAGGTACCTTCTCTTGCCAGGGCCTTGGAATCAGACTATGAATTTCAGGCCACCATGTCTCCCATTCTTGGCTATGTTAATCTGCTTTTCCTGGGTTGTCCTCTCTCAGGGAGAAGACTAAACACAAACCTCTGCCCCACTAACTATTCAGCCAAGAGACGTCGCCAGAAAAACATGGACAAATTCAGACTCACCTGAAGGAGTGGCCAACCTCAACTTGGGTGGATCTTTGACTGTGGCACCTGTAGGCAAGAAAGAAGTAGCAAGTGAACTCCTGGTGGATGAAGGAGCATGTCCAGGTTACTCACAAGACTGGGGATGTTGGTGCCACCGTGGAACACAGGAGATGGAGAGCTTGAGGGTGTCAGCACAGTGGTCCTTCATTGTGGGATCAACCAAAAACATAATCCCACACTCATTCCCAACACACATCAAATTCCAGCCAATGAAAAACAAAAGCAGGTGCCTCTCCTTGCCAGGCTCTGTGCAATGCTCTATGAATTTCAAGCTACCATGACTTCCAGTCTCAACTGCATTCTGCTGTGCTTTTCTAAGGCTCTCTTCTGCTTTGGAGAAGACTAAACCCCAGACTCTGAGGCACTAATTTTTTCTGCAGAAAGCAGCAGCCAGAAAACCCAGGAGAAACTCAGACTCACCTGAAGGAGCAGAGACAGTGAGGCTGGCTGTGGCATTGGAGGCATCTGCAGAGGAGGCATTGGAGGCATCTGCAGAGGAGGAAAGGAAAGAAGCAATTAGGGCTCTGTTGGATGAAGTAGGATGGCCAGGTTTCTCCCAGTGCTGGGCATGGTG